CTTCGGCAGGATAAACGTTGAGTTGGTGAAACCTTCAGGGACTATTTCGTCTAGATATTCAGTGAGTGCTGTGATAATTTCCAGCTCTACACAGTCTTTATTTTTGAGGTATCAGCTGTCTGCTTTGCTGCCCGTTAAGCTGGAATAGAAGAGCTGCCCAATCACTGTTGAACTTCTAATGATCCCATCAATTAGCGCGTAGTCGTTTCATTAGATCTTTCCCAAGCTGCAGAGCTTTCGCACTTCATTTCCTCTGAGCCTTTCCTTCAGTCATCATTAGAGACCTTCTAAGCTTCCAACTCGTTGATCAAAGGGCTTGAGAATAAGTAAGACGTGAGTCAATTAGTCCCTCCCTCGATCAAAGGTAGGATAGACTTGTCAAAAGACATAGAATTCCAATCTTTCCGACTTCGGTACGCCCGGAAGGAGAGAGAGAGGGAAAGTGGCTATCCATTCAATCATGAAGCTCTCGGGATAACCCTCTCGGCTGTGGGAAAAATTCCCAAGGTTTGTGTGATGGAACTCCCGCGCTCACGTGCTTGACACTTTATTTGTATAGCGATCGTCTGATTTCAATATTGCCGATGAGTAGAAGGGGAAAAAAACCAAAGCCGATTTACTCGTAGACAGAACGTTGTCGGAGGTAACGCAACCGAGGCCAGTTACAAGCATCTTCATGCGATTGAAAAAAACTGGGTCGCCTGGTAAAATTAAGTTTTCTTGCGCTTTCTTCTCCGATAAGGATCAGAGTGAGAGGGATAAGAGCACAAATACAAAGTAGCAAGGAATGCGCCATGTTTTCGACTTCCATTTGAACTCGGTGAGATGTATGTATGTGCAGCTGTCGGCTTATGCTATTGCTAGCAGAAGAGTGACAAGGATCTGTTCGGTTTTCTACNTATCCCAGCCAGGAGTGATCAGCCGAGTGGGAAAGTCAGTTTTAATAAAGCTGAATGTAGAGATAGCAGTACAGTTAGTTACTCTTCGGAATGGCCGAAATGACTCAGAGGGGTACATGCGTAGCAGACCCTTTTCAAGGATCCGTACCTAGAAAAAAAGGGGCATGGATCACCCACCGACTTTACAACGCCCCCCGTTCCCAGCGGAGGCTCTAAAAAAGAAAGGGGGTATAAGCTATCATATGTTCAGTAAATTCCTTTCCTACTTGGGGGATTGAAGAAGATGGAGGTCCAAAATGGACATGGAAATGTGCTATCCCTGTGACTCACTATGTCCTCAGATAAAATTCAAATGAATGGCGCAAAGGCAAATAAGGAAAGAGAGAAGAAGTTTTGATGAGGTTCACGTAGAAGTCGCAGGGGTCGTCTATTTCTTCTGGAAGATGTGGAACTGTCGCTGTTCTGAACTGATTAGGGGGAAAGAATTTCTTTGTAATCAATTGAACACAGAAAACTTCATTCTTTTGTTCTCGCGATCTGATTGTAAGTTCAAAGGGCCTAATCGAATTGCTGCCACAGCACTTAATGTTCTCCTCGAGAACATGAAACTTTTCTGACGAGACCGGGCTTTTTAAGCTGATCCATGCACTTGGTTTTCTTCCAAAATTTACTTACTAATAATTTATTCGGGCTTGCTGTGTTTGCTTTCGACCGGACGGCCTTTTTAGGGAAATCCGATGGTTTAGCTCAAAGTGTTCGACTCGATGTTTTATGGTAAGTTTTATGACCAAAATTAGATTCAATAAATAACAAATGGAGCTTTTAGATTCAGTACAATTTCTGGTGGTTCCATTATGCTATCTCTAGCTGCATGCGAGAACTTCATTAATAAGAAGCTTTGTTAGGCAAGGCTGTTAATTGACATTAGTGTATGTATTGGGTCATCGAAAGGAACAAAAATATTCAAGGTGAATAGAAAATCGTTGAGCAGCTTCAGCTTTTTCACTTTTGTGGCCCTTTTGAAGGAGTTGTTTCCAAAGATAAAAGTGAATGAGCTTGGACAGAAGTGACGGTTGAACGCCGACTTTTTCGTAAATTTTTCGATCCTTTTTTTCGTGATATGCAGTACCTAGGGCGGGGGTGGTATAGTGGCAAGCGGTGCACTATCTCACACGCACGGTCAGGGGTTCGAACCCCGGATTGATACCCGCCTAAGCCAACCAAGCCTTTTATCTCTCCGGGGTCGTTGAATTGGTACCAGACTCGTCTGGGACGATGAAAGCGCTGACTTGTACATCGGCTGGCCACCGTAAGTCATTGTATAGGCCACATACGCACTCATTACGCCACTACGATTCTGAATGAAAGTCAAGTGCGCATCCCTCAGACGACGTCAAAAACTTTATCCTTTATCCTTTATGCAGTACCTAGGGAAACCGATGCTGCTGAAACCATGTAGTGTCTGACAAATGGATAGAAAGAAGAATTCGTTGACTGCNGTGATTCCTTATCAGGCGGCTGTCTTTGCTTTAGCAAAGTACAACGCTATCGACATGGGCAAGGTTATGAACGATAGTCAATCGAAGTGCAAACTGTAGCACCTAAAGTGTAAAGGATAAAATACTGGGGCGTTGATCAATCCTATATGAGGGATGCGCTCCGCACTCAACTTGCATTCAGAATTGTAGTGGCATATTGAATGCGTATGTGGCCTATACAATGACTCGCGGTGGCCAGCCGATGTACAAGTCAGAGCTTTTATCTTCTCAGACGAGTCTGGTGCCAACTCACCGACCCTGGAAAGATAGAAGATTCGATGGCCTAAGCGGATAACGACCCGGGATTTGAACCCATGAACATGCATGTGTGAAGTGCGCCACTTGTCACTACACCACCTTCGCGCACTAAGCCTACAAAAGATACTTCTGAAATCTGGGAAGTACCATTCCGGACTAGGGAAAGGGCAGAGAAAGTTAAGATTTATATAAAAAATAGGTGTAACAGTGTAGGTGAGCACAGGGGCAGAGAGACGGAAGCTACTTGGAGAAAAATGTCGCAAATTCCTCGATGATGCGGGGGTTACACGGCCGGCCGATCAGATGGCGACGACGGAAGCAAAAATGTGCTGATTGCGTTCCATTGCTTACATAGTGTACTGCGCGATAACGTATCATATCCAATGTTTGTAGAAAAGCGTATTGTACGCGGCCGATCTGAGCAGCAAAAACATTCGGTAAACATGCTAAGTACGTGCTAGGTCGATTAGTACTAAACAAATGCTTTACGATAAAATAAACATCAAACTTAGGGTAAACAATGTCTTACGACTTCAAATACGAAAACTGTTTGTATATACAAAAGATGAGAGCCAATTCTCATGTGGTAGGTACTTACCCTTGTCATGAGATACTTACCCTTTTCATGTGGCAGGTACTTAACCTCTCATGAGAGGGGTAAGTACCTTCTTCATGAGAATACGTGACAACTGGCTCTCATCTTACTTATATCAACACACTTAGCACTTTTTGTGATAGGAATTCTGGNTGGTATGGGGGGGGGGGGCGTTGTCGTGGAGATTTTCGTGAACGGCCGTAACAGTCAAGCACAGTGCTTGAGCACGGTGCCCAGAAAGCACATTTACGGGTTCGAATCCTATTCGAGGGAGAAGTTTTGCCCACAGATAGCCATCCTTGTGAACCCCTCGCATCGCGCACCGCGGCGAAATTTCAGCAGTCAATAAGAACTTCGGGTCCGGAAATGTTCAGTTTCAATCTTATGGGCACCCAGTTGCCGTTCAGTCTTCACCAACGTCCATGGAACTTACTCGGGTACTCGAGTGGTTGATTACTCGGGTACTGCGGGTCATTACCATACCTTGGATGAATCTGTTCACTGACTTCTTTTTCAACCAGTACTTCTTCTCTATCTGCCCCATGGTTTGGGCTTTATAACCAGGGTTATATGCATTACTCTACCCTGTTCTGCCATCGTTATAATAACCTGACTGTAGAAGTTCTTCTTCATAAGGCAAAGACGTCAAAGACAACGCAGACTTGGAGGATACTTGGCTACTCTCAAGTATGATGGCGGTCATGTCGACATTATTAGCTCATGAACTTGTCACACATATTTCGAAGAAAGCTTAAATTTAATGGATACCGACCAGACCGCCAGAGTAGCTTCTGCAATGGTTCCGCCTAGTTTTTGCTTACACTTCACAGTCGAATTCATATAGGCTTTACCCTACAGCACCGATGGAATTGGAGCTTCGCCAACCGTGCACGTAAGTGCCAAATGGGGCAAAGTTTGGAGTATGTGAGCTTCATTACTTTCAGATTGATGGCCTGAGTTTTGCTGAAAGAGCTCCCTTTTCATAAAATGTCATTGTAAGTTGGTGTGAAGAATGCCGCCATGTCAAATATTCTCTACGGTTGCGGTGGGTGTGAGTCACCTGGTGCCATGGCTGATGCCGGTATTTCTCCCAGAATTCCCGTGGCCAGCCGGCAACGGTGGTTCCACGACGACTACTTTATCTTACCTTTAAAACTCCAAGTCTTCCCCGTCAGAGCACAGCACGCCGTTCGGGTAAAAGAGAAAAGAATCAGAAAACAGGGAAGCGGAGCTAATCAACGGAAGGTATTTTATTACGAAAAATCGATAAATAAAAAGGTTCTATTTTCTAGGACATGCTGGCATGAACTGAGGGACATGAATCCATCTGAAGAGAAAGCAAACAAAAGCTCTTCCCAACTTGCTTGTGGCTTCCAGAAGAACTCGAATCTGGTACGTTTATTGCCTTTACTCTTGAACAGTTCACGAGAGATAAAGCTTTTGTTTATGTAAACATTAAGAAAACCGTAGGGCTACATTCATATACAACAACATAAATGTGTATTGAGCAGGGGCAGCTGTACCCATGCCAATGGTAGAAAATCAGAGAAAGCTTCATAAAATACACTAAGAATCTTTAATTCTTACCTATCCAAAATTCTTTGAGGTTCTTTGGTTGTAATTACCACTGAATTTGGCAATAAATCATAAAATAAATAACAGGGTAAGTGAGAAAGCCTGAAGTCATGAATGGGAACGGTAAAAGTGAGATCAAGAGGCAGTTTGGGTGAGACCCGTTGAGGTGTGGACTATGGAGAATGTCTTCTCGTAGATAAGAAACACTACGGCATTCACGATAAATCCCCTGATGGACATGGTCAAGCCACCGCGATAGAAGGCACGGATTCCATCTTCGTTCCATAGTCGCCGTACCACGTCGCTGACCCGTCTGGAACAAATATTCCGTGAATACGGTCTAGAAGGAGTGGATGGTTATCCACTTCAACAATTGCTAAGATAAACGGCAGCGCTGAAGTTTGATTTTTACAAATTCCCTTTCCCTTTCCCATCTAAAACAAATGTAAGTAGTAGTTTAGTTGGGGGAGCAAATTACAAAGTCATGACTGTGTTTGACAACAAAAGGAATACTCTTTGTTTTTCGATGGAGTTGGACGAAAATGGTTGTGGAACTTTCCTCTCACTGGTGATGTGTCTGTGTGATGTTAGGCTCCACCCTTGTAATTTAACAACCGGCGGCTTATGGGAATGGCTAAGCTAATGTCAAAATCTTCCTATCCATCTTCCGTTTTTTCCGTGGAAGCATAGGTTGGGAATAGGTCGTCGGTAGTGAAGAAAGCGAAAAATTCGCCAATTTTGAGAAAAATATAGCTCCTCGAAAGTAGGGAAAATAGAGGTTGGACGAGGTTTCCATGATGAAAATAACATGGAAGGGGTGTTCGGACGAGATTCCAGTCGTTGCATTTGCGCAAAGAGCTGACCACATCAAGCCAGAACTGTACAGAACTGTTTTTCATTGTCGCTATGGGTCATGACAGGTTGTTTGAACCTTCTACATGGGTTCCCTTGTGATTGGTGCAGCCTCTACAATGCCGGTGAAACTCGTCCGAGGATTCACACGGGCCAATCCTTGAGCCTTCATAACGCCTTAATTAGGCCGTTTTCCGATCTCATAGCGTCACATATGATATACGAGGGGGCCTCGAATTCATCCTATGGAGAAATCTTAGAAACTATTTTTATCGTGACCTGTGCTTTTGGACATGACAGCTTGCCGATCGTTTCACAAGCTCAAGAAATCCTGCTTAACACTCGAATGAGCCATTTTGGGAGAGCTCAGCCTGAATGGGTTTATGACCGAGTGTTCTTTACCAAGGCAATTGATTCGACTTTAAGCTATGCTGAAAAGAAACCGACATCACCGAGCTGTTTTATCTCGAAAAAGAAATGTAGGTCCTTACTGTTACCGACTGACTGACTACTAACTTTTGTTTTTTTT